AGATATGGCACCATCAGATTACCATCTTTTTTCGTTCACTGCATCACCATCTTTATGGGAAAATGTATGCAAAGGTGGAAGGTGTTAAAGAGAACATCAACATGTTTTTGCTTCAAAGCCAAGTGATTTCCTTAATCAGGGCATTAAAAACCTGATTGTAAGATGGAAAAGCATCATCGATAAGAAGAAAGGTTATTTCATTTAATAAATGTTTTGTCTTGATATACAAGTTGTTTGGGTTTTTGCATCTAAAAAATGCAACATTAGTTTCTTGACAACCTAATGTATATATATAAAGAAAAATAATTTTGCAAATGTTTCTCTTATAAGTAATAAAAATGGACAGTTGCAATTCACTTAATCTTGACCAAGAAAACAAATGGTCAAAACTCAATCAGCATAACAACCACAACTTTGATGTATGCACATAATCAAGCCACATCTTCTTGTTTTGTGCATGATTTATAAAGAACACACATTACACTTAAAGTTTTGTTTTGTGCTCGTAACCTTCTAAATTTTTTTTATTCAAATCTGTGAACGATCCTGAAAAACTACTTTATATTCTTGTGAACATTTTTAAGTAATATAGGTTGTATATTTCGTTTTATAGCCCTTAATACAATCTATAAACTTATGATTTGCTAAATGACTCAAGTTTCTTCTGGCACATTTTATTTGATGCATTTCTCTATTTTGTTAGACTTCTAATGAATATGTATATGCAAAATCTTGTATTAAGTCAAATGCTGATCAAAGTAAGAAATTATTGCACTAATAAGAAATAGTGCTCACTAAACAGCTAGTAGCTTCATACAAATAATAATTTAATTCATTCAATAGTATGTTATACAGCTTTTTAGGTGCACTCTTCTTTGTCAACTAGTTAAATCACTGAAACAGTTGTATAAATAAAAAAATTCAACAGGTTAATTTGTTACAGAATTGGTTGCCAATTACTCAAAGTTAAAACACTCCATTACACTCTTTAATAAATATAATGAATAAGAAATATTTTAAAGATTGTATACCTTGCTTAAAATACTGTCCTCTACTTCCAATCCGTGGTCGTTCTGAGCCTTCTGTAAACCAGACAACTGATGTAGAACTAAGTACTAACACAATTGAAGTGATTATTCTATATCAGTATTTTACATGCTCCTTATTGATACAGTTAGTGATATTTATAACAATGTTATGTGAGAGCAGCTTCTGAGGAGCAAAGCCTCTCAATGTATCTAACAGAACAATGACTGTGGAGAAACACAAATGTTTGTGGTTCCACACACAGGATAGTTAAAGAATAGCAGTAATTCAGTGTAATGGATGGACATAATTTGCAGGGGATTACTTGTTCAGAGTTTGCGAAAGAGTGTGTAATATGATATTTATCAATTAGAAGACTAAAGTCAACATACATATCTGTTAAAATTACTATGTGAAAATAGTGAAACAAACAACAAACTTCTCTGTTACAAGAAAATGTAGAACTTTATCATATGTTATACTAATGTTACAAAACTGTCCTGAGTGCCAGAATTACAAATAAGCAAATCTGAAAAACAAGTTATTCTTAGAAATAATGCTTACTATACTATATTTTGCCTCTACTAATTATACTGTATTAATCTGCACATGTTAACAAGGGCTAATTCATGTCAAAATATTCAAAAGGTTTAATGTTTCCATCTTTTAAAAAATATTTTGATTAAAAATCTTAAATTTCTGTATTTGCTAATATTCATTTACTATTAGACAGACCCTACAAAACAGTATATAGGTACATTGGTTAGATCACACATATAAGAATATCATTATTAACTGAACATGCATACCCAATCATATACATGTTCTATTTGCATCAACAGCATCTACAACAAAACTGTGCAGGATTAGGGTAGTTTCACTTACCTTTACAAGGAATGGATTAAGGCTGGGGCTATTGGGGTTATAGCACAAAGCCCAAGCTCAAAAAACAATTTTAATAAAAAAAAAGACCCATCTTCCCTTTTTCTTAGGAAAATGCTTAATAAAAATAATTCAACCAAGTCTGCTTATTTTTGAAGAGAGAGAAAAAGAAAGACAGAAAGTTTGTTTGTGATGTTGGTAGGGTGCAGATGTTTGATTGGCTTACCTCCAAATAGTGTGACTAGGTGTAGCCTGGCTCTGACCTAGCATGTTTGCATACAATTTGCAATTCAAATGTGCTAGGTCTAAGTGACTATGTAACTAGGTCTTAGTTAGTCACACTAATCAAATCATAGACCTTGGCTAATCAAGATCTCTTCAATCTACATATTCATTATGCTGTCAACCAGGATCTTTCCTCATAGCTTGCACCAAACACACTGATTCTTATCATATGATCAAGTACTAGGCCTAGAATATGACTACACCTAAGTAGCTAGGCTAGATTGAAGATATCTTTATCTTTTGATTCTTCATTCACAAACACTACAGATTTTGTTCTAGAAAAGAGTTCAGTCATTGCTAACAAGGTAAGTAAAAATATTTTAACCTTTTAGGGTATACTGTATCAACAGTTTGTATTTCTAAGAACAGAATTTCCAAATTGTTATCCTGATTAAAAAGCCATAATTACTTGTTGGTCTACATTGGTCCTCTTATTGACTTTATCAGCTGTAAATAATTCATTAATTAATTGGAGGGTATAGAATACAAGTCATCCAAGTACAAAATTTAAATTTTTGAGTTAAGAAGAGTAAATAATACGTGATCACTTGTTACAAAAGTATTAGGTAGCCATTCTGGCATCTCTCTCTCACACACACAAACACAAGAATTCAAACACATACATACAAAAGTAAATTTATATGTGCACACAGATATTATTCATTAAGTATTCATCTCATCTATTATACAGGAGTGAAAACACAAGTGGTTGGGAAAAGCTAAAAGTCAAAGAGAGATGAAGAAAAAATTAGAAAAAGTAGTAACTAAATCTAGGAAGCTAACTGATTTATAGGCTTCACCCTCTATTGCCAAAACTCTTGCCAGCCAAGAAATTGGAACAACAATGTAGAAACTAAATCTCTTGATACTGATGACTGTCAATCTCATTATATCAAACTGAGCCCTTGTTCTCAATCAGAAAGTGCCGAAAACACAACTTCCAACCAAGATTGTGAAAACAATTATGTAGAGTCTACAACTCTCATTGCTGATGAGTGTCAACCTTATCAAACTGAATCAACCACCTACCAACAGGAAGAAATCAATTATTGCAATGGCATTGAAGATACTAATCCATCCTTTACATTTGACATGGACACAAGTTTCTGAAGAAATGAGAGATCTTATTTCCGTGTCACAGATTACCTCTTGCTGCTACATGAATGCAGATTTCAGTGCATTTACAAAATCAATACAAATATAAAAGACAATGCTCAGACTTTTTTTGTTCATGAGCAATTGAATGGAGAAAAGTTTAAGAGAGACTGGCTTTGCTACACACCATCAAAGGGAAACATCTTCCGTGTTATATGCAAATTGCCTTCAACAGCAATGGAAACTTCTTCACTAGCAACAACTGGTTACTCTGACTGGAAACATGTTGCAAGGGACTTTAGTCAGCATGAAACAAGCTCCCTGTATCAAAGTTCCATCACCAAGTTTGTTTTTGTAAAACCAACAGTGGAAGAATAGACAAGACTTTAACAGAGCAGATAGAGGCACAGAAAAATATTGGCACCAAGTTATAGAACATATTCTTTCAGTCATAAAGTTTCTATCATCCAGAGGGTTAGCATTCAGAGGAAGTGATGAAGTAGTTGGTTCAGTGCATAATGACAGTTACTAATAAGAGAAAAGGTCATGTTTTATAGTTATCCTGAACTGTTTGTGAGGAATTTATAGAAATCCTATACAAAGAAGTTCTCACTATCATTATCCAGAAAATTAAAACATCAAAGTATTACTCAGTTTACACTCCAGATATATCCTACATGGATTAACTGACAATAATCTTTAGATACATTCTAGATGATGGCCCTGTAGAGAAATTTACCATATTCTTACTGATAACCAATCACATAGGAGCAGAACTTGCTAGAGTTCTCATTAATTTCCTTCAAAAGAATGATATAAAAGTTCAAAATTGCCATGGATAGTGTTAAGACAATGCATCTAATATGAGAAGCAAATATGTTGGCATGCAAGTCTTGACCAAGGAGAAGAACCCCATAACAGACTATGTTCCCTTGTGTGCTCATTCCTGCAATGTGGTTGGACAATGCACTGTGGACTGCTGTACTATAAAGCTTGTTTATTTTTTGCCTTTATGCAGAAGCTTTATGTGTTTTTCTCAGCTTCAACCCACCCATGTAGGTGTCTACACATTATGCTTGAAAAACTAGGGTTTCCAATGATAAAGAAGTTATCAGACACAAGATGGAGCACTCATTCAGATGTAATGCAAACCCTAAATATTGGGTACAAAGCTATAATGTAACTCCTCGCTTCCATTATGGATGATGACTCGGAAAAGCTTCAAGTGCTCTTAGAGTCAGGAAACTTTATGCTACAATTGGAACAACTAGAAACAGGTATAATAATGGAATTATGGAGCTTTATCCTAGAGAGATTTCACAAGACAAGTCATTCATTACAAAATTCCCAAATAGATGTCAGTACAGCTTCTCATCTGCCAAAATCTCTCAACACATTTGTGCAGGAATTACAAGATTCAATTCCCAACTAAGAGGAAAAGGGTAAACAACTGTACAGATGCGAAATACATAAGGTCAAAAGATCAAGTAAAATGAAGAGAAATATGTGATGGGGATGCTTAGGACAGTGATTTTTCACCCTCTACTCAATATAAAGTTCCAACTTTTTTTTAACAATAATTGACAAACTGTCACTTGCAATAGACAACAGAATAGTGGCATATGAAAACTTCAGTTGCAAATTTAGGTTTCTACGAAACTTCGAGTCCATGCACACAAACGACCTCTGCAATGTCATCTAAAGGCTGATTAGTACGTATCTTATGAACTTGAATAGATGCGCAGAGGTAAAAACTTTCCACCCACTTGTAAAAACTGTTAGAATCCAAGGAACAAAGTGTGCTGAGAATGATATACAACCAATCTCTGAAATCAACTTTCTCATACGTCCTAATAATCTTAACCATTTACCGGTGACTCATATCAAGCAATTATTCAGAAAAAATATCATTCTTGATGCTAAAAAGGATAAATATCACACTTCAACCAACAATGTGCTAAAAGATGCTAAATGCATAAACAATGACTTGTTAGAATTTTTTGACACCAAACAGATCATAAAAATCTTTGCTACAAAAACAACCAAGAGGACAATAGTTTAACCAAGGACAGACAACATGATCTGCTACTACTGTGCTGGGTGTACTGTGTGAGTATTGGTGTGATCTAAATGTGTGTGTGTGTATGAATGAATGAGTTGTGGTGTTTATGTGTATGTGATTTCTTTTTGTCTATATGTTTTGTTGTCCAAATGAAAATTTTGTTTGTGTTAGAGCACCACTTTTCATACTCAAGAAACATTTAATATTGTTCATTAATTTGTAGGAGAGTCTTTTAAATCTGTGGGTATTATTTTGCAATTGTCTCCTAAAGTAAAACATACATCAAGGTTTAGTTTTTTTACTTTAGTATTTAGTCATGATCATAATAGCCCTAGTAGAAAAAATTAGCACCAGAACCATCTGACCCTTAATCCACCCCTGACTTTTACCAGCATCTATAACAAAACAGTGCAGTATTAAGGTAGCTTGACTTACTGACAAACTGAGCTGAAGATGAAAGACTTCTGAAACATCCCTCTACATTTGTGTTTTTTACAACAGGCAGTTTCCGTCCATTCCAGTATACTCAAAACTGTGCAGGATTAGGGTAGCTTCAGTTGCCTTTACCAGCCAGCTTCTACAACAAAACCATGCAAGATTAAGGTAGCTTCACTTACCTTTACCAGCTCCTATAACTAAACTGTAAAGTATTAGGGTAGCTTCACTTACCTTTACCAGCTCCTATAACAAAACTGTACAGGATTAGGGTAGCTTCATTAACCTTTTCCAGCTTCTACAACAAAACTGCATAGGATTAGGGTAACTTGACTTACATTTACCAGCTTCTACAACACAACTGTGCAGAATTTGGGTAGTCTCACTTACCTTTACCCACACCTACAAGAAAACTGTGCACAATTAGAATAGCTTGACTTACCTTTACCAGCTTCTACAACAAAACTATGCAAGATTAGGGAAGCTTCACTTACCTTAGAACAAAACTGTATAGGATTAGAATAGCTTCACTTACCTCTACCAGCTTCTACAACCAAACTGTACAGGATTACAGTAACTTAAACTACCTTTACCAGCTTGAATTGGTATAGCTTTACTTACCTGGAGGCCTGTGGAATTGTGGGGACTTTGGTGGATACGGCTGAACTGGACGACGCAGATACCCCTGTGTTGGTTCTGCAGTAAGATAGCTATACGTATAAACACGACTCGGGTCCATGATGAACACACTGTCTATGCCACGAGGACTGCCCCTACTAATCTAATGTGCATAGCATATTGTGGTTTTAATTCATTCATAAATCATCTTTTATTTGACTGGTAGAAGAAAAAACCCACATTCAACTAGATTTTAATTTAATTCTGTATTAAAATCTCTTACCTAAGGAGTTTAGTTTTAATCATTTCTAGTAGTTGGTACATTATAAATTTATCAACAAGAAAATGTTTTTAATGTTTTCAATTTCTTGCGTTTTCGTTTAGTTTGACTTAAAAATTATATATTACTTATCAACTCAATATTATTGTCAAAGTACTTTTTTGTTTTTGTACATTGAAATAACCAGTATAGATTATTAAAATTTTAATCATAGCATAATACTGTTGTAACAGTTTTTTGGATATTCATATCGCCGTTAGAATTATTAAAACTGTCAATAGATAGTTAATCTAAACTCTACAGAAGAGAATAATTACTTCAAATATTTTCTCTTTCATGACCTAAAATAAAATGATAGATAATCAATTCACACAGTACACAATGAGACAAGTAGAACATTTCAGTGTTTGGTAAAATAAGCTACTATGCTTTTACAATTCAGTCATTTATGCCCATGCTGTATTTAGCTTGATAAAACCGTTTTTAAGTTCAAAAATGTTAATAAAAAATATTACATGACTATAAATAATTAAAGAATTCAATCTTAATTGGCCTAATGCTGTTTCCAACAACATCAATCAATTACTAGCATTTCACCCACAATTCCCTGCAGGATGCTGCAGACAAGGCATTTCTCTTAATACTAGAATTCACAAAGTTTACTGGCTTTCATCATTTAAAATTATTGTTTTTTCAAGACTTGTAACATACGCAACTTTATATGTAGAATTATACATAGACTTTTCTTTACGTTAAAATACTTTTATTTTTGAGTTTTTGGTTTTTTAGTGGAGTCTTCATTGAACAACGTGTTGCCCAATGAAGGATCTGGTAAGAATGCCGAAAGCTCACGAATAAAAGAAATGTATTCAAATGTAAAGACAAGTCAATGTATAATTCTAAATATTCCAAAGTATTGATTGAAATGTCATCAAATCAGTCACAGTGAATTAAAAAGTATCAAAACTTATTGAAGTATGGGTCACTAGTAAAACTAACCTGTCTTGTATAAAGAAAGCCATGAAGACTGCAAGATGATGAGCTGGAAAAACTGGACACTCTCTAGTGCAACATGCAAAAAAAGCATTTCAAAGAAAACCATGCACAAAAAAAAAAGAAAACAGAGCATGCAATTACTAATAACAGAAATCAGTGAATAGAAATAAACAATCATTCAACTAATCTACAAAACAGTAGGATATTCTAAAGCTGTGTCTACATTTTAAACTTGAACCATTTCATTTCTATAATTTTTTATTAGGATTAGTGGCCTCAACAAAGAAGTTTATATTAGAACTGTTTTATTTTGTTTTATCATTTATTTAGATCAGTACTCAGACTTTTATCTGAAGGATTTAGCTTCATGAAAGGTTTTATGTTTAGTGAATCAAACCTTACTGACTCAAGTACCTAATCAATATGTCACTGATGCAGTTACTTATTGCTTTAGGATTAAAAGTGTTTCCAAAGTTTAGCCAGGCCTAAACTAGACACATAAACTTAGCACATGAGGCCTAACTTACACATCAAGAAGTTAATACTACTTCTCTTTTGGATTATTGTTATTTAAGTAGTCTCTAAACAGTTATAGCATTTGGTACCAACAAAAAATACACAGTAACTTCTGTGCTTATACATCACTTTTGGCAATTACTAAGTAAAACATACATCAATTGTACATGATAGCTACACATTTCCACAGCAAAACTTTTACAACTATACTTTGAAAACAAAGCCAGCTTTTAAATAAAAAACATTAAAACTGCCTACAATAATAAAGCATATTTGGAACAATACACAAATTCTATGGATTGATCACTAGGTCCTGCACTAAAATTAATAAATCTAAATGTGCATTTATTATTTATATTTTATTTGTATTTAATCATTCAATGAAATGAGTTTACACCAAATGCTTAAAATATTTTGGCCTTAACAAAATACGGTCAATCATGATGCAATATGATTGAAATATTTAAACAATTTGAATAAATACATTTTTAAGAAATCATAAAGGTCAATAATTTTTTCAAAAGATGTTATACATAATAAATGAGTACAACCTACTTGTTCATGTCCATTAGTAATATTATCTACTTTTTCTTCTACTCCTTCAGTACTTTCCTCACCATTGGGAGCTGGACCACAACGAGGATGCCAAATTGCTTCTCCTAATAAAGATGTAATTTTTCTCATTACTCAACTGTAAACCACCAATTTAAACTCTGATAAAAAACAACAACAGAATAATGATAAATTATTTTAATACAGTGTCATAAAATTATGGCTTCAGTTTCTGATGACCATATGTAACACATGTACAACAAGGCAAAATTCAACAATGTTATATATTCTTGTTCTGATGTAAATCTATAAAACTTTCTGGTACTTATATAATAGTTTAATTACACATTTATATTTTGATTTTGGTATTCTATGAATCATAATATTTTTACTTCCCATCTCCTAATGATTCATATCATCTAGGAAGTTTCTCCAGCCCCTTCTATCCCATATTCTTATAGTTTTTCAACAGTTCTTTGTTTTAACCAAACATCATTCATCAGGACACAAGGAAGAAAAGTACATGGGAAGTATTTTAGCCAAATATTCTTCATCAGGTTTTAAATAACATAACATAATATTCTGGGACAACATGAGACCTATTGGTCCATCTCATTTGTTCCATCCTCATAACTCAATTAATATGATTAAGAAAAATTAAATTAAAAAATTTTAAACCCAGCCCTTTTCAATCATATACTTATCAAGCTTTTTCTTAAACTCAATTAAATTTACTGCCTCTACAACATCTGAAGGCGACCCATTCCAAAGGCCAACCACCCTGTTAGAAAAATAAACTGTCTTAGCTGAAGAAGACTCCTACCTTGCCAAAATTTATATTTGTGTCCCCTAGTCCTACTATTCTCATTGTTAAATATAAAAAAAAAGATGATACATCAACACTATCAATTTTATTTACAATCTTAAACACCTCAGTCAGATCCCCCTAACTCTTATTTTTCAGGAGAAAACAATTTCAGAGATTTCAGCCTCTCATCATATGACAACCCCTCCATCCCAGGCACCATTCTAGTAACCATTTCCAACAATTCAATGTCCTTCCTAAAGTAAGGAGCCCAAGAGTGAACACAATATTTCAAATGTAGCCCAATCAGTGACCTGTACAATGAAAGTATATCCTCTTTAGACTTGTATTCAATGTTTCTATAGATACAACCTAAAATCCTATTTGCCCTACCACTAGCAACAGCACACTGATTGGATGGCTTTAGAGACTGATCGACTATTACACCAAGATCCCTTTCCTTCATAATACTATTAAGGTTATTCCAATCCAAATTATACTTATAATTCAAATTATGATAGCCCACATGCATTATCTTGCATTTATTATAATTAAAACCCATTGACTATCCCTTCATCTATGTGATTGATGTAAATCAAAAAGAGCAAAGGTCCTAAGACTGAGCACTGATATACCCTACTTGTGACGTTAATCCAGTTTGACTGAACTCCATTTGTAACAACCCTCTGCTTTCTTCCGTCCAGCCACACTTTTATCAAATTTCCTCACTTATCTCCCACATGTATAGAGGTAATTTATTTTTACAAGCCTTTTATGTGGCACCTTCTCAAATGCTTTCTGAAAATCCAGATACACCAAATTTACACCCTTACCCTCATCTACATAAGCAGTAACCTTTTCAAAGAATGTTAAAAGATTTGTAAGGCAAGATTTTAACTTAGTAAAACCATACTGACTATCCAGTAAAATTCTAAACTTTGTGAAATGACCTTGCAAAGCATCTTTTAACAGACTTTCCAAAATTTTTCTCACAATTGATATAATACTAATGGGTCTATAATTACTGGGACAATTTCTATCGCCTCCCGTGAATCTGTGTCTCCAAATAACTTGGCTCCCCAATTCACAACAGATAACTCTTGTCGCAACCCTTCAAAATTTGCTTTTTTGAAATTTGTAACCAAAATATTATTCCTTATCTCCATATGCAGCAAAACATTGAACCTAATACAGCAACGATCACTTGCACCCAGATGTTCCCCAATTTCTACCCTCTCAATCATTTCTGTATTTGAAGTTAACAATAAGTCTAAAATAGCATTGTTTCTAGTTGGTTCCTTGACTAACCGGTGAGAAAGCCATCTTGAACAGTTTCCAAAAAACCTTTCTCCCTCATGGTTTGATTCTAGAATTTCCTAATCTATATGCCTGAACTTAAAATCATTCATAATTATAACTTCATTAACAGCCGATATCTTAATCTCATTGTAAAGTTTCTCATTAATTTCATCAGTATCATTTGGTGATCTGTAATAAATTCCCACTAAAAGCCTTTTCCCTTTATATCCACTAATAGAATCCCAAATGGATTCAATCTCTTTGCTATTATCTCTGATATCCTCAACTTCAACAGGATGTAACTCACATTTTACATATAAAACCACTCCTCCTCCACTCTTTAATACATTATCCCTATTAAGTAGCCTGTAATCCTGTATTTCAAAAAAAATTGCCATCAAAATCATCTTTATTTAACCATGTTTCAGTTATTTCCATTATATCAAAATCCTCCATTCCTACCAGTGCTCTTACACTTCTAGCATTACAATTGTAATAATTAAAACTATCTTTATAATTACTTCTATATTAATTTCCTATGCTAAATTTTTCTCTGTTTCTTATTCTTTTTGCATTCAGTTTTTCCTGGCCCTCACCACTGTCTAGCCTAAGTTTAAAACTTCCCTTTTTAAAGGCTGAGTTAATATCCTTAACAATCAAGCCAGCCCCTATTCTATTTAAATGTAAACCACCATTGCAAAAAGCTCCCTTCTCCCACTGAACTGATCCCACAAGTCCAACCTGCCAATCTACTCATCCTTACATACTAACCTACTTATAACTTCATC